GCTGATTCTTCCTAGGATCAAAGTTTAAGTCCTCTTCCGTTGCTTTCGTAACATTGTAGGTAAGTCCTATTAGCACACAATATGATCTCATATAAAAATCCTAAGTAATCCACTTACAAAACCAATGTAAGAATAAGTGACCTTAATTAAGTTTTCAAACATAAAATTGTTCAATGAAATTTATTGCACTTTCTAGTAGCAATCAATAACCAAAAATCACATTAAGAAAACAGTTCCCTTTATAATGGCATCAAAAATACTTGGGAATGAATTTTTTAAAGTCATGAAAAATTAATATTCTGAACATTGAAAGAAGTCTCAAAATCAATCATTGAAGACCTAAACAGAGACCCCATATTCTTGAACAAACGGTTGACATTGTTATATTAACAGGACTCCCCAAAATTGATTTCAAGTTCAGCATAATCGCTATTAAAATTCCAACTGATTTCCTTGTAGACATTCACAAGCCAGTGCTAAAATTCATATGCAAGTTCAAGGAAAACAGAACAGAAAGACAACCTCAAAAAGAAGAAGGAACCCGGCTCCTTGAGCCCCTGCTATCAAACTTACTACAAAGCCAAGCGATCAAAGGCCATTGCCGTAATGAACTGCATATAGAAGAACGAGAGGAAGGAAGAGTCTAGAGATAAATTCTCACATCCGTGGTCAATTTACCTGCAGCAGAGGTGCTGAAAGAATTCACTGTGGAGGGAAAGTATGCTATAAATGACGCGGTAACAGCGATGCCTCTGGGCAAAGCATGAAGTCAATCTACCTTCCACCATCCACAAAATTCACCTCAAAATATATCAAGGGGTGGGGGTTGCACATGCTCCTGTAAACAAAAATGCACCCTCACTCCAGTAAACAACCTAATGAAACTCTGGGTCACAAAAAGAAAGACATTAAAGTAGTGGGAAGAGGGAGGGGATCCAAGAGCATGAGGGGGACAAGAGAAGGTGATGCAGAGGAGGGCAACTGAAAACATCACGTACAGGTACGAAAACGTAATTAAATCCATCATGAATAATTAACACGTACTAATAAGAAACATCCAGAAACAGAAGCGCACAACCCAAAAACTTCTGAAAAATCCTCAGAGTGAGTCTGAGAGGCCTGGGCTCAGGTTCTGATCTCTCAGCCATGACACCAAAACAAACAGGAACAACAGAAGTAAATTGGATGTCATCAAACTTCCTAATTTTGTGCCTCAAAGACGCCACCCTGGAGACAAAAATGTGATCTATGCCACAGGAAAAAAACTGTCACATGTCTGATTAGAGACTTGTGTGTACGAGAAAAGAGGGCCATTACAAATCACTTATAAAGAGACAAATGACCCAATTAGAATTGAGAAAATACAGACATTCTCCGAAGATATGCAAATGGACAATGGGGCCGGGAAACAAAACTCCTCCGCATCATTTGCCATTAGGCAAATGTGATTCTAGAACACAGTAAAGACAAGGGTGTAGTGAGGACACCCCATAGTCAGGCCAAGGGTGCAGAGAAGCTGGAGCACCCATCTACTGCACAGTCACTTTTGGCAACAGTATGTCAGCTCTTCAGAAAATCCAGAGGAGTTTCTGCCTGAGCCGCAAAGTCCACTCCTAGGTGTAAATCCCAAAGAACAGAAACAGAAAGCCGTGCACAGGTGATGAAGGCAGAACGTTCAGAGTGGCCAACCCAAATGCCCACAGACAGGAATAGATACATACAATACTCTGTATCCAAACAGTGTGTTAAAAATACGAACTACAGGTGGGGCATAGTGGCGCACCCCTTTAATCCCAGCACTGGGAGGCAGAGGCAGGTGGATCTCTGTGAGTTCAAGGCCAGCCTGGTCTACAAAGTGAGTTCCAGGACAGCTGGGGCTACAGGGAGACCCTGTCTCAAAAAGACCAAAAAAAAAAGAACTACAGACACAAGATGAATGAACCTTGGAAACATTGTAAGTGAGTGTCACCAATCACAAGGACCACGTGGAATGTGGCTTCATTTTGATGTTAGGATCCCAATAGGCAAATCTATAGACAGAGTGAACATGTGGTTGCCTGAGCCTGGAGACTTCTGGGCATATTGAGGGTGACCGATGAGAACTGTGGGGTTTTTTTTGGAGGGGGGATAAAAATTTCCAAAATTGTCGCAATGGATGCGCAACCTTTTTATGTACTAAAGCCACAGAATGAATAAAAAGAAAATAACGAATTTAACAAGGCCGCCATAATTGCTCCTTTTCTATTGTTCTGATGAAAACGCCTCATGGAAGAGTTTATTTGGCTTACAATTCCCATGGAGAAATGGTCATCATAGCAAGGAGACAAGTCCACAGGCACGGTGGCAGGAGCAAACGCTGTGAGCTCACATCTTCAAACACAAATCAGAAGCAGAGACAGCAAGTGGAAGCGGAACAAGGTGGTGTGCTCTCAACCCAAGGGCACACTTCCTCCAGCAAGGCCGCACTTCCAAAAGACTTCATGACTTCCCCAAACAGGGCCACTGACTGGGGACAAAGTGTTCAAAGCATTGCGCCTGTGGGGAACACTTCTCATTCAAACACCACACCCACCTCAAATGTAACAACACATTTAGTTAACCCTTTGACTTAAGCGATAGAATTAGCATCACACAAGCGAGAACCAGAATAGGAACACAGTCTCTGACTTCCACAACATGATCCAGACACCACTTGCCGGGACTGCCTGACACTGCATAGAGAACAGCCCAAGTTCCTGGTTATTATATACCTGGTAAAACACCCATGCTCTGGAGGGGGAGGAGTTCATAAACCCCACCCCTTGCTGAGAAGTTATTGACAGTTGTTGGTTTCTGGGGGAGGGAGAGTTGGTTTTCTTTAAGGGTGAGGCCCAGGTAGGTTGACCAGACTCCAGGGATGGCCCCGCACCCAAGAGGATATTGGACTCAGTAGGCTATAAAAAAAGAATTGGGCATGAACTTGGGAAGGTGGAAGGGTGCAGGTGGATCTGGGAGGAGCTCAGGGAGGAACAGAGGGTGGATATGATCAAAGTGCATGCGTGTACGAAATTCTCAAAAAATTAAAATGTTATATTTTTAAAGTCCATGCTCAACATTTGCAGAACAACTATCCCTCTAGACAGTGTTATCCTGTTAGATAAAGAAAAGAAAGCTGGACATGGCGGCCCACACCTTCAATCCCAGCACTCAGGAGGCAGAGGCGGGCAGATCTGTGAGACTGAGGTTAGTCTGGTCTACATAGCAAATTCCAAGCCAGCTGGGGCTACAAGGGAAGCCCTGTTCTTTAAAAACCTGACTGAACTGCTGCTCCCCCATGACTGCCGAGAGCCTGCGAACGGCTTAAACTTTGCCGAACTGGGCTTTCCAGTGCCTCCCCTTCCCCCACATCAATATTCCACCACATTACCTCACTCTGTGGCCGCACATGCAGCTCTCCCTGTGTGATACACCCTCCTTCCTTTCCCTGCTGGGTTCTGGGCTCTGCCTGCTCAGCAGTCACCTCTCCGTGTCACCTTCCTTAACCACCGGCCCAATGGTCCAGTGAACCGAACACTTTACCTCATTTTGGAAGCAGTAATACACTGATTTGTGATGCCATTTGAGTATTGTATTTTATTTTTTAGCTTTTTATGTGGTCATGCTTTGCTTTCTTACGTGGCCACTCTACCATAAATCCTTCAAAGAGTTTATTTCTTTGATTCCCCCACAAAAACCTGCCGCAATACCTAGGACACGGGAGAGTTTCTTCAGAAATATTTTCAGCTCAGCAAGACAGATGAAGTTGCTGTTAAGTTTTTAAGCTGTTTTGTTTACCTAATCATCATGACTTTGAACTTTCTCAGATTTAAAGTCCTTTATGAAAGGGGTTGAACTCCATGATTGAATGATCTTTCTTAAACTTAAAACCCATTACCTATGAGGACTTACATCCAAGGTTTCCAATATGGCATTGAGTCTTCACAATAATCGGATTTCTGTCTACCTTGGAAACACCCCAAATTCTCACCCTCTCCCCGGGGATTGCTTCTATATTCTGTCCATTGACTCAACATGAACCTTCTTAAAATCCCAGTACTGCCCCTGTTCTTTCCTTCCCATTCAGCCTGCCAAATGGCACTTCCCTTTTTAAATGTTTTTACATATATATATTTATTTTGTGTGTGCATGATGGGTTTGCATTCCATGACATGTGGAAGTCAGAGGACAACTTGCAGGAGTCTTTTCTTTCCTCCCACCATGGAGGTTCTGGGGATTGGACTCAAGTCAGTTGACAGCAACCTTTGCCTGCTGAGCCATCTTGCCAGCTCTGTCCTGATACTTTTTTTCTTTGTGGGTACTACAACCCTAAATAGGGCTAGCCTGGCCTATCTTTAGTCTGTGAACACAAGCTTCTGGCATTGTGCCCACAAGGTTTAATGACTGGTCCAGGTTCCCTACTAGCTTTTCTGAGGCTCAGCCTAGCAGCCACCACCCTTAGCATCCTGGTGTCAGATACAGTTTCCATGGAAATACTCAAAAGATGCCTACAGAAGGTTGTTAAATACAACTAATTAACATGTTTGATGACCTAAATACACCAGATAAGATGTGGTTTCGTATGAATGAAATGAAACGAAAGATGGATGAGAGCAATTCATGAGTGATCTTTGGAGAATAAACATACAACTATTCTGCCCAAAGTGAATTCTTCCTGCAAAAATTTTAACATTAGTGTACTCAGGACAAACAAATATTTCAGTGGGGTCCACATCTGCGGACTCAAGGCGTCTTGCATGGTGCCTTCATGGCAAGTAGATTTTTCAAAAGTGAAAAGAGCTTTCTTAGACCAGCAGGCGGCACGCATCTACATTCCCAGCACTCGTGATGCAGAGGTCAGGGGATCACCAGAAGCTCAAGGGGAGTCTGGTCTAAGGAGCACGTTTCCAGCCAGCCAGGAGTGCACCATGAGATTCTGTCTCACGACACCAATGAACTAGTCAGCATCAGAAATGCTCTCTCACCTGCGTTCCAGTTCCCGGATGGACAGAATCACTCCAGAAGTCGAAGGCTTCTGCTGCACTGTAGCCAAAAAGGTGAATTCACTCTTATTCCGAAACAACTGGATTAGCTTCTCACTCACATGAGGGGCCGCGTGGATCTCTCTCTCTGAGTCTAGGAGTCGAGAAGGGGGCACAGGAGGGACAAAAGGAGATGAGAGGAGAGGAGAGAGAGAAGAATATGGGAGAGAAGGGACAGTTAGATGTGAAATGTTCAAAACCCAGGCCTCATGCTTCACATCCCCCTCTGTGAGAAGCTTTGACTTTCTACCCATTCACACCCCACACATCCACATCCACTCAGCGAAAGCCCCAGAAAGGCTCTCTGTGTCACCATGCCCACTTGTCACTTTGACAAGCCCACTGTCCAGACAGTGATTTTCTGACATGAATTTTGATGGGTGCTGAGCAATGCAGCCTGCTGAAAATTGATGCAGTTGCTGTAAATAAGGTCTACCACTGTCAGAGGAGTAGAGTCCTGGGATTCTGAGAATCCCAGACCTAGCAGGACCCAAAGGCGACCGTGGACTTTCCAGTTCCACATTCCTCTGCCCATTAGGCTTCTAGGAGGCCTGTCCTTGACTTGTACCTAGCAGAGGTTTCCCAGCAACAGAAATGTCAGAAAACTCTACCTTTGCTTAAAGAATAAACATAAGGCATTCTTGTAATCTGTAAGTGTGCCTAGAATTTCTCCGTGTGCATGCAATGGATTACTTTCCTCATGAAATATTTATTAAGGCTGAGACCAACTCAGCATGCCTAGTGGTTCGTGAGCCCAGCTAATCCTGCTTCTAGATAGGTGTTTCCGTCTCCAACATCAGCACAGCAAGCAACACCCACCACTTCACACTCAGACCCACCCTCTGGGCATCACCTCATTATTTCATGCTCCATTTCCCAGCATCAGAACAGGGCCCCAAGGAGCAAAGCTGGAGAAGACTTTGCAGGGGAGAGCAAAGTGAGCATCAAAAGTGTGTATGACGGTCTCCTGTCCACCTCTCTGGCCTAAGTGGTAACTACTTGGTTATTGTTCCAAGTGCAGGGAGCCCTTGTAGAACATGGAACTTCAAAGGCTGCTTAAGCACATTGAAAACTTGCATAATGATCTGGAAGGAACATAAATCTAAAGAGTAATTTCTAAAAAGAGAAAAGCCTGGATTCTTAACCTAGAGGCCAGATCTTTTCATCTGTATAGAGGGAGGAGGTTCGGTGGCCTCTCAGAACCTTCCCGTTTAGCTCATCACTTAGTGAACTGCTGTTTGATGTAAGTCACGCAGAAAAGAATAACCTGAAGCTGAAGTTTCGGCTATAGATGGTAGAAAATCTGTACCATAAAGATGTCACCCCAGACAGAGCAGTCCACATCTCAAAACCTGCCTGGAGGACACTTGCTTTGGAGCTGAAGGAAAAGCCTTCACTATGTTTTCTTAGTTATAATTTTTTTTATTTTATGTGTATGAATATATTGCCTGTATGTGTGCAAGTGTACTCATGTCTCATATATATATATATGCATGCTCATGAGAGCTCCTGCTCTTTCCTCCATCCCTTAATATTCCCCTGGACTCCCAGTCTTAGTAAACAGCAGCACACAGCTCCCCAAGCCAACCACTAGAAACTGTCCTTGATGCTTCTTTCCCACCTGCATGTCCAGTCGAAGAGCGGCTACTGGACTCCCATGCCCAGACTCTGTCCCCTGATCCACAACTTTGCTCTTACAACGCCTGTCCGAGCCACTGCCATAGCTCCCCCGAAACTCTCCCTGCTGACCCTCAGTCCCCCATTTCCACACAAAAGCCAACCACTCTTTTTATTTTACTTTTTTTTTGAGACAGTATCTACCTGTAGCTGTGCCTATGGCCTGGCACTCACTGTGTAGACTAGGTTGGCTGGATCTCAGAGAGATCCACCTGCCTCTGCATCCTGAATGCTGGGATTAAAGGTGTGCACCACCATGTCAGGCCAAGTGCTGCTTTTAAGATATTATTTCAGCTTCCTGCTAAAATTCCACAGTGGCTTCCCGCTGCCCATAGGATAAAATCTAGGTCACTTATCATGCCTGTACAGCCGCCCGTGGTCACATCTGGCTTGCCTCTCTACCACATCTCTTTCCAGTCTTTGTGTGCTAGAGGAACACACCCATGCCTTGCGTGTTTGCCTCCTACCTCTTCCCAGAGAGCTCTTCCACCACTTCTTCACACACCTAGTTCCTCCTCCTGGTGCTCGCTGAACACCCTGAACCACATTCTCATCACACTCGGACTGTGTCAGCATCTTACATCCTCAGACATGACCATAACCTTGCTCCGTGCTTTTTCATGTTATTTAATTTCTTCCCCACTAGACTTCAGGCTCCATGGTGAGAGGCTTATTTACACAGTCTGATCCACTATTCTTTATGCCTGGCACAAAAAAAGGGCATCCAACGAGAGCGTATTAATTAGTGTTGCATTTATTTTTCTTGCTTATACTTTTACTTTAAGCAGCGAAATGACACAATCAGAAAATAGTAAAGCAGCCTTTGCAAAACCAGGGGGTAAATGAGTCCCACTCAAAGGCCAGCGGACATCAAATTAAGGAGAGTGGTACTGGGAGATAGTCCTCCCTCCAGTATAGTCCTCCCTCCGGTAGAGAACACCCCTCGGCAGTCAGAATGGACTCGCAGCCCTTCCCTCACCCACCCAACCCCAGAAGTTGAACATTCCCTTTCCTGGGGTTCCTGTGTCTCTTTGTAAAAGATTGGCATATTGAAGTAGGATGACACCACCCACACTCAGAGTGAAACGTGAGAAACGCCTGTTTCCACACATGGAAACGTACTTACATTCCCGTTCTCTTCAAGTGAGCACGTCCTAGAAGAGCACACGAAAGTGACCTCATTCCTCCCATATAGAGGCAAGAGGACTAAGCATGCTTCACAGCACTGAGACTACTGAGCTATGCCGATCACTAGCTGGGTGGCCTAGGACAAGACACATTCCCTCTGAACCCATAGTCAACTTCTGAGGGCCAAGGGATTGAGTTCCACCATCTCTAAGCTCTTCATTAACCTCCACAGCTCATTCTTGTTCCAGAACTTGTTCTACCACTAGACACAGAAAAAGGGGACATTTTCTACTCATAAAACATCCAGATTCTACAACCCCTTCTTTGTTCAATTTCCAAATCAACATAAAATGTTTGCAATTACTAAAAGAGTGCTGTGTCACCTGCTCTGCAGAAGCATGCTTTTCTCCCAGAGTTAAAAGAGCAAAGAGAGAAAATGGGTGAGAACCTGTAGTGCTGTTGGACTCTGTGCTCCACCACAGTGTGAGAGGTAGCTGTGTTTCCCATGGGTACTCTGTCCGCTAGAGAAAGCAGGAAAAGCATGTGCGGTGGATCAGCAGGAAGCATTCACTATAGACATCAACTTAGAAACCTGCGGAACATGTTCGTCACTGACCAGATAAACAGGACTAAGTGCAGAGCACAGGTGAGGACCGAATGACTGTGTAATGACTGATCACAGAATGGGGAGTGGGGGGCACGGCCATGTCATAATGTGCAAATCGTGCCACCTTCAGATGCAGTTGCTCTGTCCCTGACGCCAACACCCCCTTGTTGATGCCCATCCTCTTCCCAAGAGCTACCAGCAAGGCCAGCTTTGCTCACCAAACGAAGTGAAGGACGGCAGGAGCCGGACCACCAGCCCTGGCTCCAGGCAGCTGCTCCCCTGAACCTCTTTGTTTTTTCTAACCTGAGCTCTGGTCTTTGTAACCCCAGCATCATCAGGAAAGCTGATGCAGTGTGTGCGTGAGTGTGAGTGTGTGTGTGTGTGTGTGTGTGTGTGTGTGTCTGTGTGTGTGTGTGTGTCTGTGTGAAAATGAAGGAGAGGGAGGGAAGGAGAGAGGTTGAAAATATGAGCAATGCATGACTCAAGAATCAGGTGGGCTTCTCAGGAGGCTGAAGCAGGGGGATCACAAGTTCAAGACCAGGCACGGTGAGTTGAGTGAGTGGAAGGCCAGCAAAACCCTATCTCAAGATAAAAAGTTTAAAAAGCTGTGGAGGGCTGGAGAGATGGCTCAGCGGTCAAGAGCACTGATTGCTCTTGCAGAGGACCTGGATTCGATTCCCAGCACCCACATGGTGGCTACGAACTGTCCTTAACTCCAGTTCCAGGGGAATCCAAAGCCCTTTTCTGACTCACATACATGCAGGCAACACACTCATACACATAAAATAAAATAGTTTTTTTACAAAAGCCGAGGAACTAAGGATGCCAGAGAGAGAGAGAGAGAGAGAGAGAGAGAGAGAGAGAGAGAGAGTCACTGCCTGCACCGCACTTACATGTGCTCATTTGTTCCATGACTTTCCTCTGCTTCCTCCTGGATAGTGTCAGTTGACTGAATGAGCCACATGTTTAAGTATCTGAGTTTAGTCCTGAGGTTTTTACACTTAATGACCTCTAAGAGGAGACTCAGAGGTCAGCATTCTATCAAGGCAATTTCCCACACAACAATCACTTGAGGTGAATACTTTTCATTGTTTTAAAACTTCTGGAGGACTGGGGAGATGGCTCAGTTGATGAAGTGTAAGCACAACAATCTGAACTTGACTCCCAGTACCCACACAAATGTCGGGCATAGCACATGCCTGTAATCCCAGTGCTAGGAAAGCAAAGACAAGAAGATGCCAAGGACCCTCTGGTCAGCCAATCTAGCTGAATCAGTGAGCTACAGATTCAGTGAGAGACCTTGTCTCAAAAAATAAGATAGAGCGCAATTTAGGAAATCGACTGACGTTGACCTTTGGCCTATACACACACACACACACACATACACATACACACGCATACACACACATACACACACAGACACACACATACACACATGCATACACACACGCATACACATACATATACACACACATACACACAGACACACGCATACACACACATACACACATACACACACACAGACACACACACACGCATACACACACACACAGACACACACACGCACTCACGCACGCACACACAAAATACACAGGAGAGATTAGGATACGGTTCTAAATGCTCAGAGGTCTGACATGGTGCGGCTAAGGAATGGTCACACAGCAGCCAGGGTTCAGTACTTT